TAATAGTGGCAAACATCTGTAGCTCAAGTGTAGGATGTGGGTAAAAGTCCATTCTCTAAGCTTGTGGGTTGGTTTCCCAATGTTTCATTACAGACTAGGTTACATCTTCAGAAGAGTTTAGGGAGTTATATCTTCAGAAGAGTTTATAAGGGTTTTGGGTGCCCCCCCTTTTTTACCTGACATTCAGAGGAAATTTCACTCATAGGGCCCCTAAGAGATTTTTTTCTGATTCTTCTTGGATTTGCTCATTTCAGTTGATTTCTCCACCCTCCAAAGTGCTCTCCTTATTTTTGTGGCCTCATTCTTACCCCAGATGGAGGATTGCTTGATGGGTGCAAAGATTTGGGTGATGAACCACACTTGAAGTGAAATTAAAGTCAGGATGGCCATGCAAGTATATAGTAGGATAAAGAGGAAAATTTTCTGAATTTTCTCTCTGTTATTCTTTTTTTTTTTTTTTAACAAATTTTATTCAGTTTTTCACATTAAAAACAAAAATCTCTTTTTAGTGGACAACGTATTTCCAGGTCATCACCTTTACATACAAATATGAGAACAATTATACATTTGTATATGCATACTTAATTCTATTATTACCTTTTCCATTCCAAATTTTCAGTAAGGAAAGAAACAAACACATTAATTCTAGCCTCTTTCATTAATCTCAATCGAAGCATCTTTTTGTTTCATTTCAATTATTTCAAATATAATCCTTTAATATTTATTTTAAAAATAAAGATAAACAATATGTGTTTGAATAATAATAATAATAATAATAATAATAATAATAATAATAATAATAATAATAATAATAATAATAATAATAATAATAATAATAATAATAATAATAATAATAGGTTACCAATGTCTCTCTTTGCTTTTAATAGTCTATATTGACTTATTAATTTAGTTTGTTCTTTAGTCTGTCATATTTCCTTTCCATTACAACATTCTTTTTATAAATTCTAGATTAATACAAATTTTAACACTAAAGAAAAAAAAACAAGTATAGGTTTCCCCCCTTTTACTGCTTTGAGTGTGACACCTGAATGATTAAAATATACCTTTATTCCCTCATCTTGATTCCCAATAAACCATTATTTTTAAGAAGTTACAATAATAATCGTTACATCTTTTCATTTGGATTCCGCAGCATAGTTTTCCCCCTTAATTTTTAATAAAAGTTAACAGTATCTATATTACCCTTTATTCTAATTATTTTTAATTGCAGAAATATTCTTATTACCCCTTGTCACCCTGCAGAATCCCCTTTTTAATTCATCAACCATTATCTCTGAAAAAACAATTTCTTTTCAATGTTTTATTATTTCTGTATTTCTTTATTTCATGCACCTGTTTCTTACTGCTTCTCCTCCCCCTTTTTCCCCCATATCTTTTCTCATGCCAGTTTATATCCCTCTCTTTCTTAATATATTCCATTCCCCATTTCTGCTGGGTCTTTCTGCCTTTCCCGACTTCACAGGTATTCCCCCTTTTGATTGCCTTCTTAAATCTCAACTTTTTAACCTTCCTTCTTTCCCCACTTCTTTGTAGTGTTCTTTGTGTTAATTGTCCATTTAAAATGTCTTCTCCTTGAGTTGACAAGGAGTACTTGAGTCCTCTGAAGCTCTTTCTTCTTGTTTTTCAATCGCCATTTCCATTTTTTCTAACACAGGGCAAAATGATTCACTTCTTTCCTGTAGTAATTCTCTCATATTTTTAAGTTCCGTTTTTAATTCCTGAAGAGATATCATCATTACACACTCTTGTATTTTATGATCGTTAAAGTCCACAAAATAACCACTTTTACTTTCCTTCTTTCTTCTTTCAATTTTCTAAAGTTCTCAATTATTCCAGCCCAGGGTCTATGCCAAAAAGATCAAGCAATCCCACAGTCAGTCTTTCCTTGCTTTTTTTCTTTATTCTGGTTCTGCTTTCACTTTCTAAGATTCTTACTTTGTTTCAATATTTCTTTAGAGTTATATCCACACAAATTCATTCAGAAACAGGATGCTTTCCCTTTTGTTTGAGCTCAAGTTTTTGTCAATAGGTGGCACTCTCCATTATACAAAGTCTTCACCTTTTCCCCCTATTTTTTTGTTTAGGGTTTTTCGAACCTCAATAGTCCAGTCTTCAATTTGTAAACTTTATTATTATTATTATTATTTGACAATCTTAAGTTCAGCTTTATTTTATGCCTGTTTATTGCCAAAATATTTTAGTCCAATTTAGTTTAATCTTTAGTTCTGGCTTCTTCCTTTCCTGGTTCGAAGCCTCGCTTAGCTGTCAAAAATATTTTCTTATTTTTTTTCCTGTCCCTTTGTAATTTCGCTGCTCACTTTTCTTTTCTTAAAAATTCCATGTTACCTTAATCCCGGGGTACTTTTGTTTAGTTGTATTGCCCAGTTGTCCCGGTTCAGATATTATCCACCTCTTTCTTCCCTCCTGCACAAAGCTTAATCCAGCTGAGTCCTCCTCTTCGGGGTGGCCATTTTAAACCACTGCTGCAGTCATGGGGGGAAAAAGATCAAGCCCAGGAGGGGAGATGTGGCTTCCCTCAACCTGGCTTGTGGCTTCCTCTTACTCCACCACCCCTCCAAGGCAGCTACAGCCCCTAATTGTAATGATCAGGGCTCTGCAATGAAAGAGCACAGACCATAGCTGCAGAGAGTCACGATCTACGGTCCATCAGCGAGGAGGCTCCACCTTCTTCCACTCTCTGGTATTCTTAAGCTGCTTCTCCTCTTTTCCTCTAGCAGAATTGATCAGTCAATACCATTTAATTGGGAATATTACAACAAAAAGTTGACTACTGTCTTCTTCGGAAATGTTTTTCATGTCCAAGTCTGAGAGAAAGTGTGAGGCCATCTAGAACTTGAACCTATCTTCTTGGGTGTTAGCTATTCCTTAGTATCATCTGCAAATTTCATTCCCCTTCTAATCCCTCATATATGTCATTAATGAAGATATTGAAGAGTACTGGGCCTAAGACTGAACCATGTGGAACCCCAGTGCTTACTTCCCTCCATGTAGACTTAGACCCATTAAGGAGTATTCATTGAGTATGATTTGTCAGCCAGTTATGTATCTACCTGGTAGTGAAGCTATCTATCCCATTTTTTAATGCTTCAAGAGAGTTCAATTATAGACCGTGACTGGATTTTGGCAACTCATGGCTCCGGAGCCACATGTGGCTCTTGGGGTACTGTGCTGTGGCTCTCTGTCCAATCACTGCCTGGCCCCACCCCTCACCCTCCTTCACATGGCCTGATAAGGTAAGGGCAGCGGTGGGGGATGGAGAAAGGCCAGGGGCTGATTCTCCGGCACCTCATTCTTGCTTGTTTGTGCTGGATGTGCCTTTCACCCCTTGTTGGTTCTGGGCATGCCTTGCAACTTTAAGAAGCTCAGGGGGCTGTCCCTGAAAAAGCTCGCACCCCCACCCTGTGGGTCAGGCTCAGAGAAAGCCGGAGAACCCTCACCAAAGATGCTTGCCCATCAACCAGTTTCCCCCCTGTCTATGTCTCTCTGTGTGTGTATGTGTGTATCTCTTTCATGCTCTCTGTCTGCATCTCTTCCCTCTCTCTTGGAAAGCCATGGCTGGGAGAAGCCAGCAAGCTCCCTTTCGGCTTCTTGGCTATTCCTTTTATTTCTTTTTTCTGGAAATCTGAGCTGGCAGAGGAACAATTGCCAGACACAGCAGAGGCTACCTTTTGGGTTACCCTCCTCCTCCCCCCTCCTCCTCTTCTCATGACTTGGGGTTCTGCCAGGGGGTGCACCCATGGGAAGACCCTTCTTAAGTGAGCACCAAAGTGCAGCAAAGACATGCGCAGGGAGGGTGGCCACTTCCTTAAAGAGAGTCTTAATGGGATGCAGTTTTTCTTCTACCTGAAGCCTCTGGCCATTGCTTTGCCATGTTGTCATTCCCCCACCCCACCCCCACCCATCTAGCAGCTCTTCAGCTGAACATGGAGGTTGCAAGTTCCAGCCAGAAGAGGCAGAAAGCAAAGGCTGCCTTATATGCAAATGTGGCATGAAGGCAGTGCAGGGCCACTTCCTGCACTAAGACTTCAGTGACCCTCCTCCCCCTTCTCTCATGACCCCCTGGCTTGCTGTGGTGGGGCTGGGAGGATGCACACATGTGGGGAGACCCCCCTCAAGCAAGCACCAAAGTGCAGCAAAGGCACATGTGGGATGGTGGGCTGCTCACTTAAGGAGGGTCTCCCTGCCCATGCGCACCCTCCTGGCCCCACCACAGCCATTCAGGAGGTGGCAAGAGGAGGAGGGTTGCCCGAAGGTTATTTTTTTCTAAGTCCAAATGGGTCCAATTGGCTCTTTGAGTGTTTAAGGTTGCAGACCCCTGACCATGACACATGTCTCTCTATCAGGACACAAGGAGAAAATATCAGCTGTGAACTCCATGTAGTGCACAAACTTTTGGAAATACAGATATATACAGCCACATCATGGTAGGGGACTCTTATTTAAACTAATCAATCAAAACTGCATACATTTTCAGGCATATAGATGGCTCAGAGTCTATATTTCTACAGCCGGAACAGAGTTTCTGAACTTCTGTTGTATTTTGATGCTCTTGGACTTCTGTACCGACTGAAATACGAATCACTCAAATATACTCTTTTCCTTTTGGTTTTCTAGAGTATTTCCTGTTTACACTTTTCAAAATTTTCTTCAGGGACTATAATTGCTAAGTGCCGTGACTCATTAAATCTTATCGCTTCATGGGGTAGAGAAGTTCAATGTTTAAAGCTCTCAAAATCAGGAAGTTTTTCCATATGTTATGATAGACTTTATAATGCTTTAATTATTACACCACAGGCATGAAAGAATGGAAAGATAAAGATAAATTTTATTATTACATTAATACACAGCTATTTCATTTTCAAAAGTACTTAAGGCATGTGTCATTGCTGGCAACAATCACTGATCTAAATCCCCTTTTGTACCTGATTGATTTCTATAAATCATTTTATGAGGGTTTTTCACATGAGTTGTTGCTTGTTATTCAACTCAGGTCTTATCAAGATGATATAGATTTTGGGTGAGAAAATGAGGACCAATAATCCAGTACTTGAGGCTAAAATGGAGAAGATCTCCACAGCCATCATGTATTTCCCTTTGGGTGCTCTGGTAGGCTGGGACAAAAGAGATCCAGACACTGCAAAAGAGAAGCATGCTGAGAGTGATAAATTTCATTTCATTGAAACTGTCTGGAAGGTTCCTTCCAAGAAAAGCCACTGTAAAGCTGATCATGGCCAGGAGGCCAATGAAACCCAGGACACAATAAAACAAGGTAGCAGAGCCTTCATTGCATTCCAGGATCATTTCTGTCGGCAGCGAGTGCATGTCAAGATTTGGGAAGGGAGCAGAGCTCATCAGCCACACAATACAAAGGGTAGTTTGAACAAGGGAACAGGAAGGAACCATAAAGAGGGCCAACTTATTCCCTACCCATGACCTCATCTTAGAATCTGGCCTGGTGGCCATGAAAGCTAAGACCACAATGAGGGTTTTGGCCACAACACAGGAAATTGCTAGAGAGAAAATGATTCCAAAAGCAGTCTGTCGAAGGAGACAGGTTGCCCTCTGAGGCTGACCAATGAAAAGCAAAGGGCAGAGAAAGGAAAGCAGGAGGGAGACCAGGAGGGTGTAGCTGAGGCCTTGGTTGTTTGCCTTGACTATGGGTGTATCCTTGTGTTGGACAAAGACTGCAAGGACTAGAGCTGTGATGGAAGAAAATAATAGTGCAAGAATGGCCAAGGTGATCCCCAAAGTTTCTTGGAAAGATAGGAAGCTGATCTCTTTCGGAATGCAGTGATCCTGGGCTTTGCAGGGATACTGGTCCTCTGGACACTGATAACAAGAATCCATTTCTGAAAAGGAAAAAAGTCTATTTGGCATAAAACAACACAAAGAAGTAGACCAAGATCAGAAGATAAGGAGAAATCAGGCCCATAGAATCACCAGAAGTAAACATGATTAAATGGATATCATCATCATCATCATCATCATCATCATCTTCCTCATCATCACCCCTTAGCAATGGTGCTTTCATGCTGCCGTAATTCAGAGCCCAATATTGTGTGTTTATTTATTTTTCATTCATTAGGTTTATATCCCCCTTTTCTTGAGATGTTTTAGGTAACACACATAGCCTTCTATTGTCTTGCTTTCTCTGCAAAAACAAGCTGGTGGGATATGTTGAATTGAGAGAATGACAGGACCAAAGTCAATAGTGAACAATCATGCTCAATTGTGGAGTAACTTATTTGAGCGCAGCCACAAAAACTAACACACATTTTATCCTCCTTAGAACTCTGCCTCAAGTACTATGAGTCTCAACACCCTAAGGATGTTCCATGCCAGGTTTTAAAGAAGGTAAACTAAAAACTGTTCTATTTCAATTTACCACATTAATGGAAAATATGAATCCCAATTTTCTGATCTCTGGTCTGGATAAAAAAATTAGTTTAACCCTTGGCCCCATATGAATCCACCAAGGAGAGAAAATGATGAAATGCAAACTCTGTCCCTGTAGGTGTGGAGTGACATCACCAACCCTTCAAAAAAAAAGTCAGAGCTTGTGTCACCATGGAGCAACACAGACGTATTTCCATTTAGCCTGCTTTTTACTCAAATAATTGTCATATCACTACCATCACCAATGAATTAAAACTTGGTAAGCATTGTACCTTACCTGTCCAGTTTGACACTTTTCCTTCTGGGCATGGAAGGCAATCATAACAACAAAATGGCTTCCCTTCCTTCTTGGTCTTGCTGTGACCTTTACGGCAAGGTTCGTTACACAAAGAACGAGGCTGTACCTGTGTGCAATGGGAAATTATAATTGCTCTTATTTTCTTAGCAGAACCGATTGAACAAATGGGTAAAGTACAATACGTAAACCTTGGGTTGAAACTAGAATAGCAATATAACTTTATTTCTAATTAGGCAGCCTGAATAACAGTTTGAGAAATACTATTCACATGCCTTTAAAAAAACATATACAAATATCAAAAATCAAAGAAAAGACCGAGCCATGGAAGTGGTGGGCAAGACTGTGTGCGCACGCAGATCTAGTTACACAAATAGAGTGCTCACACAAATGCTTTCCAATCTCTTTTTAAAATATCCAGTGTTGGAGGATCCACATCTTCTAATGGCAAGCTCTTCCACAGGTTAATTGTTCTCACTGTTAGGAAATTTCTCCTTATCCTGCCTTCAGGTGCTTTGGAGAATAGCTTGATTCCGTCTTCTTGGAGGAGCCCCTTAGATATTGGAACACTGCTATGATGTCACCCTTAGTCTTTATCTACCAGTGTTGTTAGATACGTTTCTCTGGGTTAAATTTTTTTAAAAAATATTTGCAGAATGAATCACGGCTATCAGATATACATGTATAATCTAAAATGGATATCCCCTGAAGTCCCTAAAATGTGTCCTCACTCTCAGAATCCCTGTCATTAAACTATTTAGAATCTTTCAAACTAAATTTGGCTATAAAGATAGATAGAATAAGCATCAAGTGATTAACCTATCTTGGAACAGAGGAAATAACAGAACATACCTGGTTAAATCTCTCTGGCCATCTGATGGCATCAACAAAAGGACTGAATGCATTGTCTTTGAGAGCTCTGAGATCAAATGTTCCCACTTTGGATCGATGTAGTGCTAGGTTTGGAAGTGTGACCCAATTGATAATATTAAATCCTGCTTCCAGGTTCCCATTTTGATCAAAAGAAATCATCTTCCCAACACTGTTGTTAAATGAGACTTTTCTGAGATAATGGTGGAACTAAAATGAAGGTGGAAAAAATCTATAAAGTTATGCATATGTAATACAAAGAATATAACAGAAAGTGAGGATATTTCATAGGAAATCAGAAGAGCAGTTTGCTGATGCACGGGAGTCCCACAAACGTGAAGCTTAGCTTTCCGGTGCATGCATGTGCACTGGCCACCTGCTCTTCCACTTTCTAATGAGCATTTGCACGTGAAGACCAGCTGGCTCTTCTGGTTTCCAGTGCTCCCACATGTGCGAAGACCAGCTGGCTGGGGAGCTGTTTTTTCAGTTTCTGGTGCTCCTGTGCATGCACAGACCAGCTTTGGAATATCTTTGACTGACTGGTGGGAAAAGTGGAAAAGATAAAAGTTTGATTTGAGAACCTGGGAAGATTTTGTGTTTAACTTGACATTTTGGAACATTGGAGCATCAAAGGTTGGGGATACAGTGGGCCTTGCAGATTATAAATACTAATTGACAGAAGACAAGATAGTATAAAAGACATTTCTAAGGATAAATATTTTTCCTTTTTCTCTTTTTGCTCTTTGATCCTTGTTAGGGATACACACCCTAGCAGAATGTGCATGGTAGTCAGGCAGGCAGGCAGATATGTGAGATAAACGTTGTTGTAGCTTACACTCAGTAAAACAGATACACTGTGCCAGTTAAATAGTTTTTATTCCAGTAAGAGTTATAGCATAGTCAAACAGTCCATATATCATACACTAGTTCAGTCCGTCCGGGGATTATTCATTAGCAAAGTCCAGTGTCGAAAAAGAGTTCATTAAACGTACAATATCAGTCCTGTAATATATCTCTTCGCAGTTAGAGATATGAAGAAGTAAAAACTCTTTTCTTCCTTCAGTAATAGCAGGGAAAACACGCAGTTATCACCATCAATCCATCATTGTCAGCAATCTAGTAAAAGCCAGCAAACAGTGAGCTCTCTTGCTCCCTCTTATGGTGATTTTACAACCGCACCCAAAATACATGTTTTACATTTAAAATGATACACACACTTAAACTCACTAACATAGTTTATATATATTATTTTACCCAAACTAAGTTAGGTAACCATGTTATCCCTAACAATCCTCCTTATAAAGAATGGTCTGTGTGGACTGACCTTGTGCATTATTGGATTTAGCTTGACATCTTGGTACATCGGACTATCAAAGACTGGGGATACAGTGGGTCTTGTGGATTATAAACCTAACTGACTGAGATATTGAGAAACTGAAAATTGATTGAAGTTGAGGGAAATGGATTTTGATCTGGGATATTGAAGTGTTGGGGAGTTGTTTATCGTTAGCCTTTGGCTGATTAGCCCTTTGCTGTTAGAAGGGCAGGTGGGTGTGCCTGCTGCTAGTTTATTAAAGGGGAAAAAAGAGAAAGAGGGGATTAATATTAGCTGCCAAAATGGCAAGTACTTCACATTTAACCAAAATAGGGAAGAAAGCATCTTACACTATCATTGCCATCCTCAAGTCCATCTAATCAGAGATTAATAGAGAGCATATTACAGCTGGAGAAATCAAATACATTCCAAAAGGAAATGCAAGCAATTTTTCAGTAGCTGCTGGAGCCATAACAAAAAATCATAATGAGATAAAAAATATATAGGTGAAGTGAGAAATGGTATGGGAGAAGTAAAGGAAAAAAATACAAAATATAGATGAAAAATTTGTGAACTTTCAGCAAATGGTAACAAAAAATGAACAAAGAATTGAGATAATGAAGGAGAAATCAGAACAAGCAGAGAAAAAAGTTGATGAAATAAATTATAGATTGATACAAGCAAGTAAAGAGCTAGAAAGTACAGTGATAATGCTAGAAACAAAAAAGCAGCCCAATTTTTAAGATTTCAGAATATAGAAGAGGAGAAAGAGGAAGACCTACCAGACATGATGAAAGAGATCTTGGCAAAGGCATTAGGGATTGATAGGCAAGAGATGGAGACAGACAAAACTTTTAGAATACATACGAACTATGCGAGGAGGCAGAAAATCCCAAGAGAAGTACACGTGAGATTTGTGAAAAACCGATAAGAGATGAAATACTCAAGAAGGCAAGAGATGAAACACTACAACACAAGGGGAAACAATTGGTGGTTTTGAAACAGATTGATAGGAGAGTAAGAGACCTATGGAAACAATACGTAACAATACTATGGAACAGTTAATTAGAAATTAAAAAATTAAAATTAAAAAATTGAAATTCAAAAAGAAGAGTATATATTACAAGCATTTGCAGACAACCTAGTTTTAATACTAGAAGAGCCATTAGAAACTGGCCCCAGACTGATAGCGAAAATTGAGTAATATGGAGAAGTTGCAAGGCTGAAAATAAATAAAGAAAAAGTTAAAACAATAGTCAATAATCTTATAGAGTAATAGAGAAATGAACTGATAAAGAAGATAGAATTTTAGAAAGTAAAGAAAGTGAAATATTTAGGAATCTACTTAACAGCAAGATGTGCAACAATCAAAGATGACAACTATATAAAGTTAATGCAACAAATTAAGCTGGACTTGGAGAAATGGAAGAACCTACAACTCTTAATGATAGGGAGAATAGCTGCTATAAAAATGAACCTATTACCTTTTCTTATACTAAACAATACCAATAAAATTAGAGAAAAAATATTTTGAGGAATTGAATAAATAATTTTGAAGTATAACTGGCAAGGTAAAAAAGCAAGAATAGGATTGAAAATATTAGAAGTGTCTAAAGATACTGGGGGCTTTGGGTTACCAGACTGGGAGTTGTATTATCAGGCATCTGCACTTACATGGGTGAAAGAATGGATGAGCCTGAGTCATAGAAGATTATTAATACTGGAGGGCCATGATCTCCAAGTAAGGTGGCTTGCCTTTCCATGGTATGGAAGGAATACAGTACATAGATATTTAAGACACTATGTCAGGAATACTTTATTTTTAGTATGGGAAAAATTAAGTCACAAAGCTATAGGAAAATTCCAGTCTCGCTTTCTACAATGGAAGCACTGATACATCCAAACGTTATTAACTTGGAAAAAACTGTATCCTACAAAGATAAATGAGAAAAGGGAACTTAAAACCAGATGGGAAGTACAAAACCAAGTGATGGATTTAGCATGGTGGCCATACTTGCAAAAGCAATCAAAGTATGAGAAAGATGTGAAAACATCGGGTTTCTATAAAGAATTAATAACAGTTGATAAGATATTATTAGGGATAGATGAAAAACTGATAAGAAAATGTATAATTACCTACTAAGCTTTAAAATGGAAGATGAACAAGTTAAAAGAAACAATGATAATCTGGGCAAAACCTTTGGCTATATTATAGAACTAGATAAATGGCAAAAACGTTGGGATAGACATTACAAACTGACAATGGCTACTGCATACAAAGAAAATCTTTATAAAATGTTTCACAGGTGGCATTTGCCACCAGCAAGATAAGCAAAAATGTTTATCAACATGTCCACCAAATGTTGGAAATGCAATCAGGCACTAGGTACCTATTATCATATGTGGTGGACATGCACAAAAGCAAGAAAATGTTGGACAAAAATACACACATTGCTAGAAAATTTGATTAAGCAGCATATAGATTTAAAGCCAGAAATATTTTTGTTAGGTATAATACAGTGGTGGGATTCAATTTTCTTTTACTACCAGTTCTGTGGGTGTGGCTTGGTAGGCGTGGCAGGGGAAGGATACTGTAAAATCTCCAGTCAGAAGTAGTATTTGCCAGTTCTCCAAACCACTCAAAATTTCTGCTATCTGTTCTCCAGAACTGGTCAGAACCTGCTGAATACCACCTCTGGTATAATACCAGAAAGTTATGATAAAAGGACTATATAGTTAATCCTACATGTATTGACAATAGCAAGAATTGTATTTGCACATTATTGGAAAAATTAGAACATCCCACCAGATGAAAATGTAATTTGGAAAACACTGGATTGTGCAGAGATGGATAGATTGACATTGAAAATGAAAGATAAAGGAGATACACATTAATGTGGAATAGGTTTTATCAATGGTTAGAGATAAGAGGTAGAAATTAATGAAGAAAGATCATTGTTATGAGTAAAATATGAATGTTCTCGATAATTATAAGTGTGCTAGTATAATTAACAGGATTATAAATAAGATAATATAATTATAAATATGATTATGTGTATTATGTGTATTATCATTAGTACTATCAATATATCTGAAATTTTATCTTTTTTGTCTTTTGTAAAATGAAATGTCCCGGCAATACACTGTATTCAAAATACATACATACATACATACATACATACATACATACATACATACATACATACATACATACATA